TGAGAGTTTGTATATATAAAGTTTTTTTTTTGGATAAATACATTATATAATATCGCAGCTGATGCTAAAAACGGCTGATACTGAAATTTGGGGTCTCTATTTAAATCTATAATACCTACTAAAATCCACATGTACTTTTTTATTAATAAAACTACCCTACTAACCCTGACCTAACTATGATAAAAAAGTGTAAAAAAAAGCCAAAAAATTTTTATAATTTTATAATAAAATATGAAAAAATTTCAGCATCAGCCGTTTTCAGCATCAGCTGTGACATATAATTTTTTATTTATTTATTTATTTTTACTTCTCTTTTTTATAATAGAAATATAATATTAGCTACTGAACCAAATTTATCCGAACTAATTAGCAGCTTAACTAGAATTTATAAACTAATTTAACTATTTGCTATAATATATTTACTATATTAAAAATAGTTTGTTATTTTATATGTTTGTTTTATTTGCCCTCTCTTTTCCGAGAGTCCTGAAAAGTTATGTTAACCAAAAAATTAACCAAAAATTAACTTTTAACAGCCTTATATACAATAGAGTCCAAATGTACTAAGTGTTTTAAAGAGTACATAGGTTATATAGAATATAAATACCTTTAATAACATATATAGTCTAAATGCCATAAATAGACAAAGTGCCTTTAAGAGAATATAGAAATATTCTTCCAAATACAGCACAAGTGAACAAAGAGAATAAATCTATAACAAAAATTACAATTAAGGTAATTAGTATATTTGGATTTTTATCTTTGAGTTTTAGCACTGTGTATATAAATAATTTAGATAAAAATAAAATATGCTACTAATAATAATAATAATAATAATAATATAATAGGGTGTCAGAAGCCCCTCACAATGAACCATAGTACTGATAAAATCATAGCTACCTATTAAGTGAAAATTGTTTCTGGACTAATTTTACCATAATACAGGCTTATTTTTAAGAATTTTTATTTTTGTAATAAAAAATTAAAAAGTTAATTCTGGCCAGAATTAGTAAGCAATTGGTGCTGTTTAGTAGAAAATAGAGAGATCTCTATTTAAAAATTAGATTACAACCAATGTTTGTACTTGGTATATATCTATATTTTTTAAAAAATTTGAACTATGTCTAAATCTATATGTTCATGTTCATAAATTACTATGTCTATATTTGTCTATATTATTTTTAATAAGTCCAAATGTCCATATTGCCAAACACTAATCACAAATAATGTAAATTAATTTTTTAAAATATTATTTATATATACAATGTAATATAACAATTGTGTAATGCATGTGATTTTAATTTTCCTTTGCAGAAACTTTAAAAAATTTAATAATACAATTATTATATTATTATTATATAATTTATTTAATATTATTTTATAATTATAGAGTTTAACAACTCATATACAATATAATTACAATATAATATAATTTAGTATATTAAAATTGTATTGTAAATATGTTATAAAAATATTTTAATTTTATTTATTTAATTATATAATTATTATATAATTAGATATATTAAATTATTATTATGACAATGCTATAAAAATATTTTTAGTATATTAAAATATAGTAAATAATTAAGTTGTACAATGCATAGTAACAACACAAATAATAATATATAATCTATATAATAATAATATAAAAACTGCATAATTTTTATAAATTTTGTAAATTGTATTATTATTATATTATTTTAATACTATTTTAATATAATATTTGCATTATTAAAAAAACTCATGTTTCTGCAAAGTCACTATCAGTTAGCTAACATGTATACAAAATTGATCTACTATAAATTTTTAAAAAACTTTTAATTATTAATAAATGTTTTTCTCTAAGATAATTTAATTCTATTAGAATACATATATTTTTTATAAAATAAACTTGTTTTATATGTTTTATGCTACAAGTTAATAGTTTACTCAGCTCTACTTGAGTAATAGTTTATTAAATAACTAGTACTTTAGAAATTGTTTTAACTTTTTTTTAGGATTATTTTCGAATATGTATAGAAAGTGAGTAAAAAGTAGTTATAAAGATTTAGACAAGTATAGGCTTAAAGAAAATATATACTTTACTAGATATTATTTCACAGATTTGGGATCTAATAGTAAATAAGAAAAAATCATATATATGATAAGACTTTGCAAAATTTTATTTTAAATAAATATTTATAAAATGAAGCTAATAATTTATTACAATTTATTTTTTTTTAAATAATGTTGAGAATTTTATTTCAAATAAATATTTATAAAACAAAGCTAATGATTTATTACAATTTATTTTTTTCTAAATAATATTGAGAAATTTAATTTTACAAGTAGTTTATTTAATATCTTGCTTTTACTTTTTATTTTGAGTAGCTTTTCTTCCAAGAAGTAAAGGTATAATATTCTTTGTCATTTGTTCTTTTGTGATATGTTTTTTTGTTTTTAAAATATCTTGTCTAATAATTTTTAAAATTCTCTCTTTTCCTTTATCATAACAGGTAAAAATGTTCTTATATTCACTAGGTATTAGCTAGTTAGAAATTTTAAAAAGCAGGTGCTTTTTGGGTTTATCAGAAGTAATAGCTTCAAAAAAGGTATTTACTAATGCCTATAATACTTTTTTATAATCAATTTCTGCACACTTGGTTTTACTTATGCAACTGTAGTTTACAAATTCTGTATATAATGCCATTAACTGATCTCTTTCTTCTTGTGCTGCTTTAATTACTAGTTTTAAGTTTTCTGGATCAGTTGAACACCCAGTCATATTTTGTTTAATAAATTTTACACTGAAACACTCAAGTGCTTTATCAAATCCAAAGAAACCTTCATTTGCTATAAGATTTATTGATTCAACTACTTGAAGTTTTGCTTTTAATGTTGAATTTGTTTCTACTGTTATTAAAAAATATGATACTGATTCCACATATTTATTTTTCTAGCAACAGGAAATAATAAAGCAAAGGCTTTTAAACTTTTATGTTGAGCTTCAAAATTACCCAACTGGATACCAATTTTATGAAGCTTTAGCGAGCCTGCCTATTGATAATATAAAGTCCAGATCTAAAAAACACTGTTATTTCTATTTTTAATATTTGTAAGTATTACACAATGCTTATATATATATATATTAATAGCAAATGCTATAGCTACCCAAATAAGCTCAAGAACATGAAAAGTTGCTTGATAATCAACAATATCCTGAAGCTTATCAAGAAACTTTGTGCCAAGTTTAGATGCTAATCTGAACAACCCATATCCAGGAAATACAAAAATTAAAACACTACACATATCCTTGCTTGTATGCCAAGAATTGGGTTTAGTTTTAGTTGGTTATTAGAATAATTTTTAAGTCGACGAAAAATAGCTTCATCACAAGTAATATCTAAAAAATCATCTTTATTTAACTCTTGATCTTTTATATATATTTCACAGGTTCTATACACTGCACTATTGCAATTTGGTTCTGGTCTGGTTTCTAAAATAACAATGTTTGGTGATAGAACTCTGCATTCTCTTTCTACTTCTTTTTTAAGTGCAACATTTATTAACAACTGCCTAAAAATTTGTGTAAATTTTTCTATTCACTATTCAGTAAATAGATTTCTTCCACATAGGCTTTCGTCAAACATATTTGAAATCGAAGGTGGTACATTCAAATTAGGCATTTTAAACTAAAAAACTATATACAAGGTAGTATAAGCTATATCTTATATATCATCAAACAGATTACCGGCTTTAAATGTTTTTTCTTTAAAATCAATATTATCTATTACTGCCAGGTTCCAAATATTAGGCCCTAATTTTAATCTTTTTTGTATATCTGCTTTTAACATATGTGTTTTTCACATTTTTACTTCATAATCTTTAGAGTATGCTACAATATTTATGGATTGAAGAATAGCACATAAATATGTTGCAAGTTTTGGTCATTCACAAAAAGATTCAATTATTTGTGGAAGCCAAAATTTCTAACTTTTGAATGCAAGTGTTAAGATTATAGAAAATAGAAAAGCTGCACTTTTTACTGTTTCATTTTCATCAAATTCAGATACTATACTTTTGTGCTCTTTTTATTTTTATTTAACAATTTCATGCTTTTGGAGCTGCAAAATAAGAACTAAACTATTGAAAAAACTGGTTAAGCATTTTGGCATTGCTTCATAGTACTGTTGTAAAGATTTAGAATTCTCTAATAATTATTTATAAGAAGATAAGGTGGTATATAAATTTAAAACATTAAGGCAAGTAATTTTCCAAATTCTTTATATTTTTGGGGGTTTAGTGTAAATTGGTTTATTTGTTTAGAAAAATCTAACCTTTTAATTTTCAAAGCTGTATTAACTACAATAGGCTAGACATGCTATCTGCCTGTATAGGTAATAAATTGAAATCAAGATTTGTTATGCATGAAAAGAGAGTTTGAAGTAAATGGTCCTTAGTGCTATCATTTTCTAATTGTGCTATTATTTAATTAGTCTTGCAAAGTGATAAAGAGCAGTCATGGTATTATCAGAGTGCATTATAGTGCATTCTATATCTTTAATTTCTATGCTAGACATACATACAAATCCTCTCCATTCTTTTTATAACACTGATAGTACATATAATAAACACCTCATGAATTTTCTGTATTTTTTGTATTCAAGCTTTTTTTAATGGCTGAACAAAAAACTATTCCATAGCAAGGTACTTGTAATGTTTGATTAAATATAATCCATGTATGCTTTACACAACTTGCTCCATGACTAAAGAAAGCTTTTTTTTATTACAAAAAAAAACATAGCAATTGAAATAACTTTTCTAGTTGCATATTGACCTTTTAACTTTTAACTTTTTACTATATACTGTATTTTGATCATAATTAAAGTGTCTTGAAATACTCTAAGAAAACCTTACTAACAGTGTTCATATCAATTTCTCAGACACCTATAAGTTCTTGCAATCTTTTCTTACTAGCTCTATTATAGTAATATATATCTTTATATCATTGTCAATTATAATCAAGATATAATTGGCTTTGCTTTAACCTTAGAAATCTCTTTAGTATATCTACTGCAAGTTTTTTCATAAGTTGTCTCCTCCAAAATTATTATATCCTCTGTATCAAGCTCTTTCTATAGATCATCTTCATATTTAGCTAAGCCTAAGGCTTGTTTATATAAGTTTTACTCAAAGTTAAATACTGGCTCATAATCATACTCATTTTTATTATCAGATAAAACTAGGGTCTGAATATCTTCTAAATGCTCTTGTAATTCATTCTGATCAAATTGAGAGAAAAAGACTTTTTGCAAATTTTGTGGAAAATCAAAACTCATTTTTTGATGATAATAGTAAAAACAGATGATTAAAGAAAAGATATGAAAAATTTTAATTGATTTTTGTTTATCTGTTATATTAAAAAATAAAGTAATGAAGTATGGGGCTTTTTATTGATTTAAGGATTCTTTTAAATTTATATGCAGAATCCTAGCAACTAATTATAACTTTGCTACATACCAGTGTTGAATAATTACAATTACATATAATATTGAATTATGTTATATTACTATTTATTATCTGTTATAATATAACACTATTATATGATATAAGTCATGAGTTATTGTCTTACACTGTCATGTCACTGCTGATATTTAGAGCTCGTGAATATCTGGAACAAAATTAGTTTTGATTATAGATGATTAACTGTTAATCCCAAATTCTTTTGTTAATTTAACTTAGAAAAGGACAACTTATAATGCTAGAATGATTACTCAAAATATTAAACAATTTGTAGTAAATTTTAGCGATTTTTAAAAAGAAATATAAGCTACTCAAAGTTGTTATTGAATTGTGAGATGTTTAATTTCCTATGATTTATAATTAAAGACTTAAACATTTATTATGAATTGTGCAAAATGATTTTTATTTAATTAAGAAATAAAAATATATAGCAATATAAAAACACAATACCTAATTTTAATTAAGTTTTAATTCCAATTAGAGATTGTACCCAAGTAGATATTTTTATTATATAGCTATAATAAATTACCAGAATAACTAGGTAATTTAATAATACTTGAGTAGAGATTTTCTTGATGGGTACAATCTCTAATTCTATTAAAACTAATCTTAGCTAAAACTCACAACATGCTTGTAGCAAATTTGAAGCAACTAAAAGAAAATTTTTCTACAAGCCTTTAAAAAAAGTTTTTCTTTTAGATCTAGAAAATTAATAATCTAATTAGCTATAGCAGATAGTGTTAACTAATACTATATATACAAAATCTCAAAGAGTGCTATACCAAGTACTATATCTGATATGCTAAAAATAGTGCATAAAAACTTTAAATTTCAATTGGTTACAACACCAGCATTATACAGTCAGACCTCTCTAAATGCATGCTCAAGTACAGGCCCAAACATATACTCAATCTCTATAAATGCACTTTTTCATATTCTTTATCTGTTATATGCACATTATTAAAGTGTGATTTCAAAGGCCTGCATTTAGAGAGAACTAACTATAAATGTCTAATTATGTCAGTAGTACTAATAATAGCATAAATATTAAAATTGCACTTATTATTTTGATTATGTACCTTGAAGAGTTATGATCTTCACAATAAAACAGCAATAAAAGTGTTCAGAAGGCCTAACAAATTTATAAAAAGGTGTAGTAAACTATTATTAGCAGTTAGCAAAATAAGTATTTAAACTAATCTTCAAGCTCAAGATTATTTTCAACTGTGTTTTTAACTATAGCCAAAATTTGAACTGTTGGTTGTAGTAAGCCACAAAAATGTTATGCCCGAATAAGAGTCATGTGTGATGTCTTAGTAACCTGCAAATTTAAAAAACCAAAAATTTTATGAATTTTTTCTGTGTTGATCAATTTTTTTTTTATATGTGTGCAAATGTAATAATGATTATCTCTAACATGTCACCTGACTGCTAGACTACCCTAGAGTTAATATTTCAATCTGGATATATTTTTTATATCTGGATTAATCCGGTTTTATCATAGTATAAATCCAGATATAAATTTAAATTCGGATATATTTAAATCTGAATATAAAAACATTATGTCACATTATATCACATGACATAGAATATATCCGGATATATTAATCCAGATAGAGGTATTAACTCTAGACTACCCTAGCCATGCATGGCAAAAAAAATTCAGGTTATGTGATGATCTGTATTAAATTAGCCAATAACGATTTTTAATTTAGTGTAATGTTACATGATTAGGAAAATTCAAAATAAACGTTCGCTCTAAAGAAAATTAGAAGAAATCACTTATTTCTCGACAATCTTCATAAGAAACAACCTTCTGCATACTAACAAAAAATTCCCAAAAAATAATTTTACTTATAGCACTCACTTACTCTAACCCTTACACTAACCCTAACCCTAATTAAATCAACTTAAAGATTTTTATCAATTATCATGTAACCTGAACTTTTTTTGCCATGGCTAGGGTATCCTGACTGCTATGAAAAATTTGAGTTACACCGAGTACCATATACAATACTAGATAGTAAAAATTATAAGTAAAATTCAAAAAATTATTAAGCTAGTATAATAATTAGAACTATAAATCGGGTTATGCTTTATTTAACAAGCCAATAAAAATTTTTAGTCAAAAAGTAGATCTTTTCCCTTTCTATTGAACAGCACCAAATTTTGTAATGTGGGCCAAAATTTTGAAGATCTTCAGCCATTAGCCAATCAAAATCGAGGATCTGCTGGTTCAATTTTGTTGCAGCATGTTCTTTTGTGATTCCGGGTACAGTCAGACCCTAAGTGCATATTCCCTAAATGCACAGTATATGAAAACCCTCTAATATGCATGCCTCTGCTTGGTCTCAACTCATATAACAATTATAAAATTTAATCTCTCTAAGTGCATACCTCCTCTAAGTGCATATTTTGCATTTTTTTCACTATGGTCCGAGGGGTGTGCACTTAGTAGGTGCGACTGTATTTCCAAATTTAGGCTTCCTGGCCTGATTTTCACAATCGGCTCCGATAACCCCGATCTGAGATATTGGAAATATCTATATGATGTAAAAATGGCTTGGAATGGATTTTTTCGTGCATAGTAGATCAGATGCATATTAGGTTTAGAAGATTTGGCATATTGTATGTACATTTTGTATGTAGAAGCCATGTACATTTTGTATATAGAAGCTGTGTATATTTTGTACATAGAAGCTATGTACATTTTGTATATAGGATTGATATTAGAGAAAACCTATAGAAAACTTGCTAGGTAGTGAACATGACCCAGTTTAAAGATAGGTTCAGTCAGCTAGATCAGCTATCAGTTAGCTATTATGAACTATCGACTAGTAGCCGGCTATAGCCAATAAATTACTTGATCAATTTCTTAATCAATTTTTCATTCAAACTTATAAACAAGTGCCGAATAATTATATTTTTATAGTTTTACAGTTATACATATTAGAGTACCCTGGCCATAGCGAAAAAAAGTTTGGGTTACATGCTGTAAACAGCCAATCAAAATAATCAAAATATTGCAGATCTGATCTATATTTTCAAAACAATCTAATTCTGGTCAAATTTGTAGATTATTTGACCTATTGGATGAGTTTAAAACTCATCCACAATAGGCCAAACGATCTGCAAATTTGACCAGAATTAGACTGGTTTAAAAATGTAAATTGGCCAAAATCAGTTTTGAATATTTTTCTGTAACTACTTAATTAAACACAGTACATTTTTTTATTTTTAAATTCTAAACTTTTGTATTTTTATTAATTCTTAAGTTTATAGAAATATACCTGGAAGGGATAGAATTAAACAACTCTCTAATGTCCAATCTAATTGTTGCTAACCCTTGCGGAACTGTGCAAGCTGGGTATACGGTGACTGATGTAGAAGACTATCCTTATGTGGCATCATCTTCAACATCTCTAAACCCTATGATCCACATATCACACTAAACACCAACAACGATCAACTCTCTGATTCATCATAATCATCATACGAAGTAATATCAGAAGAATACAACAGTGAAGATTACCATGTACCAAACCACTCCCCTCATGAAACAATCACTCAAGTAACAGAAACACTTGGAACTATAGACCTTCTTACATGCTATAATAAATTTCTCTTT